TTATTATTATTATTATTAATCTGCATCAACTACGAATTCCTCGCCAGATAGGCTAATATAGGTGGTGAGCAGAGTTTTGAACTTTTCAAATGCCTGTTGATATTTTGAAATCCAATCGTTGTACTGGTCTGGCAAAATCTGCAAATCCTCGAACAAATCTCCTGCAATAGGAGACATACCTAGCTTCTTAATTGATATTTGTTCTTTGAAATAGTCCTGTTCCGTATCGTTTCAGCTTTTATTTTAATCAGTTTTGACACCATTCACCGATATAACATTACTTCTCTTTAAAAGAGGCTACTCACAACATTTTCGTGTTTTTCAAATATCGTCGTAGTCGCCGTCGTTTTTTTCTTCATTATCTTCACCATTGTCGTATTCATCGTTACGTTGCCGCGTTGTCGTTTTCGTCATCATCGTTGTTGTCGTTGTCGTCTTCGTCATTTTCGTCGTCATTGTCATCGCATCCTCATCGTCATCGTCAGCGTCATCGTCATCATCACCGTCATATTTCTTTAAAAGAAACTGAAACTGGATATTAAGTCCTCTGGCCGGTATTTATTTATATTTGTGTTGTACTGTTCCATATCCTTCCTGTGGTTGCTTTGAAATCACAGGCGAAAACCTTCAGGAATACGAACAATTTCCTAGAAAGAAAAATGCCCCTATTCGTTTAATAAAACAAGGACTAAAGTTGTATGTCCCCATTCCATGCACACGCAATAACAAGACAACTTGTACTAATAGTGTTCACTAGTTTTACATCAAAATTGGCTTTCTTTGTTAAAAATTAATATTATCTAAATCCACATTAAATACGTCTTTCATATAGCTTTTGATTATTTGTTTCCATTTTATGCGCATTGGCTTCCTCGAGGAGCATGTTAATTAAAATTAAGTCATAATTTTTATCGAGCATAACATGCGGAAATCCTATGTTGCTATAATCATCTCAGTTTGATACCATACAATTAAAACAATACATCATCAGGCACAGTTATTAACAACTAAAGAGCGTGTAGGAGGATGCGGGGTTGTCTTCGTACATTATATTAATATATTGAATCTGTAATTTTACCTTGTTTGCAGTTTTATCCATGTGGTTTGTAATTATTTCAAAACTTTCATGAAGCGTTTTAATTATGATTTACAGTAGTTATACTATCAAGAGGCGCTGCTGCGTGTTACATTTCTATACCGAAAAATTTTTTTTCAAAAGTTATTATACATATTCAGTAAAGACTACCTTAATTACAAATTTGTTGTTCTTATTTCTTAGTAGATTGTAATTTAAGGAAAGCTAAAAATCTATTTATGTGACTATTTATTTACATGTCCCATAGATATAATATAGTATACTAATTAGATCTATGATATGATATAGTTTGATCTACGACATGTCCGAAGTGAAATGCGATATTTTACATTTAACGAATTGCTAATCAGGTAATTATTATACCTACTGTCAAAATTTGAGCCTATTGAACGTTGACTGCAATGAGATAATATTTCAATCAAGGTATTGAAGTTTTATCACTGGAAAATTGTATGTACCTAATTGAATTAATTGAATTCTGAAATATTAAATTAAATATGAAAGGGGGAAATATTGTCAAATATCATTCGTGACGATGGTTTTGTCAATGGATTTTTCTCGTTGTTGTGTTTTCTAAAGGTAAAATCACTTTGTGTATATATATTGCACCGAATTGGAAATGTACAGAAAGAATAACGAATGAAAAGTTACCTGACCGAACTTT